ATTCTTAATTTTAATATATGTTGGAAAAACAATAATTTAAAAAACATGTTAAAATAAATTACTTTTTACGCCATATTTAGTATGCCATAGCACTGTTAATATAAATTTAACACAAAAAGAAAAGATAGAAAAAAATCTAAAAAAAACACTTTTCTTTTGAAACATTTGAGACGTTCAACTTTATAGCAATCAATTCTTTTCTGTATATTTATTTACTTGTTCTGATTTATTTTAAAATTTTCGTAATAATGAAACCATCAAATGTTCTCCTTGTTTTCAGATGAAACTCGAAAGGAAATTAGAAAATTGCTATTTACGCGCTGCGAAAAGACGGAGATAAATTTGCGAAAATATAGAATACTCGGTGGCGCGTTACATATCGGTTTAATTTATCAGCCGCCGCAACCCAAAGACATGGGACGAGAGATTACGCTTACCACGTGTGAGCAATAATTATTTTAAATACACTATAACTTATACGTACTGTTATTCAATGTTATTTTCTTTGCAGTGCAAATTCCTAAAGAATTGAAATCTGTACCATTTTCCAAACCGTATAAGGCGCCGCCGCCGGCACCAGATTCTGAGAGAACACCTGAAGTAATCGAAGCAGAAATGAAAGCTTTGGAGGCCGCAATGGAAGCACTGGTTTTAGTAACTTTAAAGTATTTATTTTTTTTATTAATTAACTACAAATAAGAATCAGATGTAATAATAGCGAAATACATTTAAAAATAAGAAGATAATTGAACAAATAAACAGTTTTAATGAGGTTGTAATGCATATATAATCAAATGTAACACCCAGAAAAAAATATTCTACTTGCGGAATCTTTCTTAGCATTTTCTCTACGAAAAAATATCTTACAAAAAAATTGTATATAAAGCATATTTCTTTGTAACACATATTCATCTATAAAGAAGTGGACGTATATATTATAATCAAGAATTATACGATATTCCCCTACATTTTAGAATATCTTCTTAAGGCCGAATATCAAAGGAAAATCCTTTAAAATCAAGAGGGAGAATTAGATCGTTAAAAAATAGAATATTTTTTTAAATGAATGCAAAATATACAATAACTATAAATTTATATACACATTATTATGAAATGAAAAATAAAACTATCGAGCAAGGACTGTCAATAATATAACAAATATAAATTATAGTAATTAGCAATTAAGAGGGTGCTATAATTAGTGCGCAACCAGCGCAACTTATAATTATTCAATTAAAATTAATATTATTCAAGTAAAATTACGATGTCACTGTTATATAAAAAGCTTTTTATATTCAGTTGTATTTATACTAATACCATAAATCATATTTTGTTAATTACTCTTTTAACAGGCTTCCTAGCTCTATTATTTGGTTTGAACCGCCATTAGTAGCACACTGGATACCTGAAAGGAAAATATGGTCTACCCAGGATGTACACGACATAAAATACAACGAAGAGAAGCAGACTATCACGTTTAGAACTGGCAGATTAGGTGTTCACGGCCTCGCTACTTTTAAGTTTATTAACATCCCCTTCCAAAGTTGGGAACTCAAGCCTGAAATTGGTAGAAATGCACGCGGTGGTATTGTGCTCAATGTGTCCGCTGCTATCGTACAAGCAGAATTTATAGTTAGGGTATTAGATTTTTTGAATTGTTGATAAAATTATTTACAACTGAATCAGCTAAATTTAAAGATCTAAATAGTTTAGAAGATTTAATTTATATTTATAAAATTGCGTGCAAATGGCGAACGCAAAAAAAAAACGGAAAATTAAATATGAAATGTAAAAAATAATGCAAAATGTTAATAACTTTCCATAAATTTAGCAAATATTGTTTCATGAAAGTGTATTCCTTTTTTAAATTTACTTTATAAGATCTAATTATAAGACATTATTGTTATTATTCTCTATTTTGTTCTAATGAAACTTGGATTATATGTCAATAAATTGGATAATTTTTTGTTTTCGTAGGAGAACTTGGTCTGCTTAAATTCGTTGGCTGGTGGTATGTCGACGGCACTTAAAGCGATTATTGGAGAATATATGAAACTACATATTTTGATTGAGGTATAAATTTTGTATTTTTTTTTTTACAAACAATTGACTTGTGTTTATGATAGTACGAGAAGTTAAGTAATACTTTGACTGGTGCGATTTTTGTAGAATCCAGAAATATGCAAATAATTTTTTTTAATAAACATTCTTTTCTTGCAGAAGATGCGCGATGCTGGATGCGATCTATTTCCAGAGCGAGACGCCTTCAGTTATATAAAAGCTCTTCCAGTAAAGCATCCAGTGACTGAGAGGCATCTTCGAGAATGCATGGCTCTACTTTGCACAGCATATACGTTCTCTTGGTCACGCTGGAACGCTAGTCGACATTCCAGAGAAATCGTTATACAATTCAAGGAACTTCACGGATGTGTTGCAAAAGAAGTATCAAACATTTAATTATTTCATCTTTATTGTAAAATTGATTGTAAAATAATTTAATAATGCATTATTCTAGTAAAACTGAAATTAACCTTTAAACCACTATATCGGTCTCACAGGCCGCTATTGAAAC